AATCAAGAGTCCGATGCTCAACCGACTGAGCCACCCAGGCACCCGGCTAACATTGTTTTAGATGCATCTCACAAACTGATATATTTTCATTGTCACTCAGTTCCAAATATTTTCTAATTTTTCTTGAGATTTTGTTTTTGAGTTATGGTTTAGAAGTATGTCACTGTATTTCCGGATATTGGAGGTTTCCCTGGTTACTTTACTGTCATTGATTTCTAATTTACTTCTGTTATATTAAGAGAATACACTTTGTATTACTGTAATTCTTGTAAATTTATTGAGACTTGTTTTATGGCCCAGTATACATCTCTTGGTGAATGCACTATGTGCACTTGAAAATAATGCATATTCTGTAGTTGTTGGATGCAGTGTTCTATAAATGCCAATTAAATCAAGGTGGCTGATTATGTTGTTCAGATCTCCTATGTCTTTACTAATATTTTGTCTAGTTATTCTATCAATTACTTAGATGGTGTATTAAAATATCCTACTATATTGGGGCATTGCCTGTTTTTCCTTTTGTCAATTTTTGTTTCATACATTTTGAGGCCCTATTACTACACAAAAACACATTTATAATTGATATGCTTCACTGATTAACTGTCCACCATTATGAAGCAGACTCTCTTTATAATACTCTGTCTTAAAGGCTGTTTTATCTGATATTTAAAAATAACCATACCAGGCTTCTCATACTTCCTGTTTGCATATTATATCTTTCCCCATACACTTACTTTTAACCTATGTGTCTCCTATAGTCAGTCTATTGTAGGAGTTTGCTCTTTTATCCACTTTAGCAATTTCTGCCTTTGAATTAATGTTTTTAAAACCATTTACATATAATCATTGTATTGGTTGAATTTGGGTCAACCATTGTATTATTTGTTTTCTCATTGTCTTCTTTATTTTTCCTTCCTTCCCCCTTTCCTGCCTTCTTTTGGATTATTTCCATTGTGTTGGTGATTATCCTAGAAACTACAGTACCTACTCTTGATTCATCAAAGCCCATATTAATCAATACCTCTACCACAGTTTCCTTCTCCCTGAAGAACACCCTGTAGGGGTGTCTGGGTGACTCAGTCAGTTAAGTGTCCAACTCTTGGTTTTGACTCAGGTCACCATCTCATGGTTCATGGGTTTGAGTCCCACTTTGAGCCCTGTGTCGGGCCCCACACTGTCAGCACAGAGCCCGCTTTGGGTCCTCTCTCTCCCTCTCTCTGCCCCTCCCCTACTTGCTCTCTCTCTCTTTCTCAGAAGAAAAAAAAAAAAACTTAAAAAAAAAAAAGAACACCCAGTTGAATTTCCTTTAGTGTTGATCTGGTGTGGCACATGCGCTCAATTTTGTGTTTATCTGAAAATGTCTTCATTGTCTTGCCTTCATTCTTGAATGATCATTTTCGTGGGTAGAGACTTCTGAGGTTGCAGTTTTCTTTCAGTATATTAAAATGTGATTCTACCCTTTTCTGGCTTCCATTATTGCTGTTCAGAAAGAAGCTGTTAGTTTAATTCAGATGTTGACAAATTATGACCACTGGGTTAAACTGGGCCCTGCGCCTGTTTTTGTAAATATAGCTTCACTGGAACATCACCATAACTGTTCATCTACATATTCTCTATGGCTGGTTTTGTGCTACAAGGGCAGAACTGAGAGGTTAAACAGATCATATGGTACTAGCATAAAGAGAGACAAATAGACCAATGGGCTAGAATAGAGAAACCAGAAACAAATGCTTACTTATATGATCAGATGATCTTTCACTAAGACACCAAGATCACTCAATGAGGAAAGGACCATCTCTTCAACAAACGGTGTTGGGAAAACTGTATATCCACATGCAAAAGCATGAAGTTGGACCCTTATCTTACATCATATACAAAAAGTAACTCAAAATGGATTAAAGACCTAAATGTAAGACCTAAACTGTAAAACTCCTAGAAGAAAACACAGAGGAAAAACTTCATGACATTGGACTTAGCAATGATCTCTTGGAAATGACACCAAAAGCATAAGCAACAAAAGCAAAACAAAACAAAACAAAATCCAAAACAAAACAAAAACAAAAAACAAATTGGACTACATCAAATTTAAAAACTTTTATGTTTTGACACAGTCCTTTATGTAAGGACACAGTCAACAGAGTGATTGTGAGTAGAATATTAGCTACATTAGTTAATGTGTGACCTTGAACAAGTTATTAATCCTCTCCAAGCCTAAACTTCCCAATCTTCAAAATGATGACAATACCACTTTCATTAAGTTTGGTTATGGCATTAAAAATGGGTATGCACAAATATTAGTTCCTGTCCTTTTCTAAATCACCTTCAAAGTCTATGCCATTGTTTTAAACATCTCCAGTGGTAAGGAATCTTAATCTCTTAATCTTTTATCATGGATTGGACCATATATATTCAACTAAAAGTGACAGTACAAGCTAAGTCCAATGAATAAGAGTAGTGATCAGGATAGTTCTTTGCCTAAAAGGTGTTTTGCAGAAAGAACCCTATGAGTCTGAGCAAGATCTTGATCATATCACTATTAGTTTACTTTTTGGAGAAATTCTCAAATAATTTCTCAATATTTTTAAATTTTTTATGGCTAAAATGATTGTCTGACCTGATTAATTCTACCTGGATTGCATGCCTCTGACATGCATACAATTTGAGAATATTAAAGCTGGCCATTGAAGACTCTGATGACTTGTTTTTGAATCACATAAAGAAACATGTCTTATTAGATGTTACTATTTTCTTAAAAAATGGTTTTGTCCAATTGCCTTACAAACAATAGAACCAACTCTATGTGCCTAAAACAATCGTTAATTTTGGGTTCCTATAAATTACAGGAAAAACAATGCCACTGCAAAAGCCACTCTTGATACTATTATCATAATGTGTTCAGAATAATGTTATTAATGACTATCTAATTCTTTACTGCTACAATTTTAAGTATATTCCCTCTTATCCTACAGTCTGCTAATAAGAAAACAAGTACATCAATAATTACAAAGTCTTTGGCATCTGAAGCAGTGATTAAATCACCCTTCATCTTTGCCTTCTCCAAGTTAAATAACCCAAATTCCTGTGTTTTTACTTAATATGTTCTAGCTCTTCAAAAGCTCAAATTTTTACATGCAATATTAGGAAAATAACTTTTACATACTTTATAAGGACAATTAAGAAAACATATAGAGTTAAAATTACAGTTATGTAAAAAAGCAATGTGATAAGTATCATACAATTATGAATAAAGAAAATGAAGGCTCAGAAAAAAAAACTGTCATTCATACATTTATTTTACACCATGGTTCTAATTCTAGTATTCTGAGCACAGTAATCCTTACCAGGGGACTTTCCTTGCTGCGAGTTGCTTCTTCGCTCTCTGTATCTGGCTGGAGTGGATAAACCTGTGTCTTTACTAGGCTTGCTAGCAGGGCCCATTTCTGAAATGAAGAATCCCATCTGTTCTGAAGGCAAGATATTCTCAGGTGGATTGGCCTGGCATTTTATACTGGCATCCACCTAAAATATTAAACCCACTAATTATTATGAATTTCCCTCAAATATCTACTAAAAGTTAAGATAGTTTATCAGAGGAGTTCTATTATTGACACATGATACAACAAACATGTTTGTAAAGGCTTTTCATTCTTATGAATGATACCACATTTAATTTTGTTGAGCTAATCTGAATGTTCATTAATAAGATATCTATTTCCCTATACACAAACCACTGAAATGTATATGGAGTTAAAACATTTACTTATGATCAGAGGAAGATTAACCATGAAGCTTGTTGATTTTTTTTTTTTTTTGGTACAATTCACACACACACACAAATTTACAACTGGTTAAGACCACTATCTTTTTCCATTCTAGTATCTCTTCCATCAGATTTCCACCCCCATTGGTAACATTGAGATGGGCATAGGCATAATCCTGTTGGATAATGTCAGTGGAGCTGAGGACATTTTATTCTACTAATTTTGTATTCTTTGTCTTAGAGAAGCCCTCAAAATTGTATAAGCTTCAACACCTACAAAATCTAGATCTGTTCTGCTTATGAGATATGAGTTTCTTTTTTAGAGTTCCTAAGTTTTCTTTGGAATGTCAAATCCTTTCATAAAGGTGACCAACTTGTGAAATATTCTTATTTCTTTATGAATTTATTTTAAATAAAACTATATGGGGCACCTGGGTGGCTCAGTCAGTTAAGCATCCGACTTCGGCTCAGGTCATGATCTCACAGCTTGTGAGTTCGAGCCCCGCATCGGGCTCTGTGCTGATGGCTCAAAGCCTGGAGCCTCTTCAGATTCTGTGTCTTTTTCTCTCTCTCTGCCCCTCCCCCACTCACACTCTGTCTCTCTCAAAAATAAACATTAAAAAAATTTTTTTAAATGAAACTATATAATGAAATAAAGCTAAAAGTTAAAAACACAACTTTTAACAGCTGTTGTTCAAATATATTTTTTAAAGAGAAAGTAACTTTATAAATGCAATTTTAAGGTATGAAATATAATATTTTGGATGTGAACTATGAAGGAACAAAGACAAATTTTATGTTCTTTCCACAACACATTTGAAACACAATGGGCCTATCTTTGATCTACTGAATTTATAATATTATTTTAACACATGATATACTGGATTTCCACAGCTGGACTCAAAAAGGACAATGAGTTGATAGATACGTTAAGACTTTGGATCCAAAATTAGAGCTAAAAAAGAATGCATTAAAAAACAACTATCAGGTGCCTGGGTGGCTCAGTCGCATCCGACTTCTGCTCAAGTCATGATCTCACTGTCCTTGAGTTTGAACCCCATGTTGGGCTCTGCACTGACAGCTCAGAGCCTGGAGCCTGCTTCAGATTCTGTGTCTCCCTCTCTCTGCCCCTCGCCTGCTTGCACTCTCTCTTTCTCTCAAAAATAAACAAACATAAATAAACAAAACAAAAATACACAAAATAAACAAAACAAAATAAACAAACAAACAAAATAAAAAACTTTTTTTTTAATTAAAAAACAAAAACAAAACACAACTATCTAAAAGTTATCTTGGGAATCTAACAGTGACAATATTTTCAGTCCCATTAAAGAAAAAAAAAACCAAAAATTTAAAAATATATATCAGGCTAAGATCAAGAAAAAAAATTTAAAGTAGGAAAAATACTTAATTCACAAAAAGTGACTGTAATTTAGATGTGCTTTTATTTAGAATCAACTTTATTCATTTTCTGGTCATAAACAATAAAGGAATTAGCTTCTACCTTCAGAATATGTCTCTCAAACTAGTCAGAATTCTGCTTTAAGAATGTAGATATTAGTAAGGAAATTCAAACACAGTATGCTCACAAGTGAAATAAGAATTCAATAATGCTGTAAGAAACTATGAACAGACTTCTAACCATCTCTTTACCCCCAGGCTACAAATAGCTTGGAAAGTCCTGATACTATCTGTCAGATAAACCATCCTTTCTGAGTAGTGGATTTGAATCAGCCAGGCACACCTCGTCCATTCAAATTAAGATAGGAAGCAAAACTCAAGGGATGCTTTTAACATGAAAGTAAGTTTTATACCACAATGCTCAGACTGCCTCTCTAGAGGCTGACTTCAGACCATAACATAGTAAGAACACGTCTGGGGCTTAAGGTTACTTCTGAATTTTTTGTGCAGAATCACTGGGACATGATCCTTCTGGAAAGCATAATGAACCAGTATTAAACCCAAATTAACGGTGGACAAACTCTCCACTAGACCAGTTTATAGCAAGAAGCACTAGGTACTTTGAGCTTTATTAGGATTTTTTCTTTGCCCCCTTACCTGGTGTGTGCTGAATGGTAGCCCTTCTTGCACAAATACTACTGAAGATGGAGATGGATTATGACTTAGCTGCTCCTTCAGTTTGACATGAGCTTGTTGGATGGCTGCAGATTCCTGCATTGTAGTATTTTCAACAGGCTGAGCTGTGTGGATGGTATAGATGTACTCAGGTGACTGTGGTAGAGAGCAGGTAATTGCTTGTTCTGTTCCGACTACAAAAGATGTAATGTCTGAGCCTACAGGAGTAAGTGGCTCCAGCTGGCTAGCCTGACTTGTGGAAGATGGATTGCTGTTGTTTGAATTAGCTACGATATGCTGGCCTCTGTTAGACTGAGATGTTGGGCACTGATTCTCAACAGGCTCCACCTTCACCATCTCCAATTTAGGGGAGGAATGCAACTCATCTACTATCTGAAAAACAGCCTCTAGGTTAACTTCTGTCTTTTTATTTTCATCAGTAGTACTGCAAGGCCAATTAGAAGGCAGAAATTCAACTGGATAGGAGGATTGCATTGGAGGATTCTGGGAAAAGAGAAAACAGGATTGTTTGGATAGAAAATTGAATATGAGATTAAGGAAGAAAGCAACAATGTTTAGGCTCATAAATGTTAAACAAATAGATTAAATTTAACTAAAGCTCACTGAAACAACATGAACACCAATCAACTTTTCAGCAATGGTAGCTTCAATTCTATTGTTAACATTTACTTAGCAACTAATAGATGTCAACCACTATGCCAAGTTCAATACTGGAAAGGACCAATAATTTTCAGGGTTAAAGTACACAAAATCAAAAAGCTATAGTACTCAAATACCTATTTGCTGATAAAATGTCTATATACCAAATTCTTCCATAAAAGTTGACAAAAACATCACTTATATCTATCATATACTGTTTTAGGAATGTAGTAGTGAAATTTCAAACACAGGATGCTCACAAGTCCACCAATGCTTCTATACATTCAGGGGGAGGTACTGATATTCTGTTCCAAATGATCTGGGAAAAAATGGATGGAATATCGAATGTCCTTTGGTTCCTGAGATTGTTTATTTTTAATAATAAAACAATAGATTAAAAATAGCTGTCACTTTTAGATGTATCCTTTATACCTTTAAGATGCATTCTCTTATACCTAGTACTTTGCACAGAGTAGACATACAATTACATGTTTAGTGATAAATAATCTCAAGCTATGAACATAAATACTAAAGAGTAACAACTAAATAAAACACGTAATGGGTTGATATTGCCAAACACACCACAAAGACTGTGTCAATTATTCAAAGGACATTAATTCCAAATAATGTAAATTTAAATGGTGTAAGCATCAAGCCACTTTACTGTAGCCAATAGCACCATTTATTGAGTTCTTACTAGGTGCCAAGCACATGCAAAGTACTTCGTATACAGTATTCCTCTTAAGAGGTCTATAAAATGTGATCATCTCCATTTCCAAATGATGAAATTGAAGTTCAGAGAAACTCTGTAATTTACCCAAAGTCACAATGAAATAACTGACATATCCAAGTTTCAAACATAGGTTGCCTAGCTCAAGAGCTCTTGCTCCTAACCATTATGCTATCCTGACCATGCATGCACACTCTCACCAATATCTGCAATCCAACCAAATCCTTTAATTCCAGAATGACACCTAAAACATGTTCTTTTTTCCATTTAAAAAATTTTATGTCTACCTATCTTTATTTTCCTGTAACATGTATTGTCTTTGAAGTAAGAAAAGGTCTTTTAAAGATATTTTTAAAAATTTATTTAAAACATAAACATAATCAAGACATAAATACTGTCAGAGAATCTCCAGCATGATCCAAGGGAGAGAGCATCTGGATACACAAACAAAAACATCTAATTTGTGGGACAGATATGTCCCTCTAGTGAAGATGAACAGACTGGACTATCATGCCCGATGGTACCTGCCTTTAAAAATATCCAACTAAGTCCATTTGATCTGATTCTATACTCTTTGAACAACAATCTGACTTCCTACGTAGCTTTGTCAAAAAAAAAAAAAAAAAACCCACAAAAAAGTAATGTTCCTTTACATACTGGAATGCCACTAGAAAGATATTCTCTTAAAAACAGAAGCTATCTCAGGGACGCCTGGGTGGCTCAGTCAGTTAAGCATCTGACTTCAGCTCAGATCATGATCTCACAGTTCGTGGGTTCAAGCCCCGCATCGAGCCTCATGTCAGGCTCTGCACTGACAGCTTGGTCCCTGGAGCCTGCTTCAGTTTCTGTGTCTCCCTCTCTCTCTGCCCCTCTCCTGCTTGTGCACACATACATGCGCTCTCTCTCTCTGTCTCAAAAATAAATAAGCATTTAAAACAGAAGCTATAGGGGCGCCTGGGTGGCTCAGTCAGTTAACACAGAAGCTATCTCAACTGGATGATATCAAAGGCAAACACATAATTCCAATCTTTAAGCAATTATAGCATAAAAAGACAAAGCATGGAACTTAGCCTTATCCTAGAAATAGCAGTCTAAAACACTTAAATCAATGCAATTGCTTAACAATAAATAATCAGAAAATAATTAAAATATAGTGTGTACAATATGGGGGCAAAAGGGGATCACCACTTAAATTTCTCATTTTTTATTTCATTTTTCCTTTCTCATTAAAAAAAAAAGTAATTATCTGTACTATCTTGGAAGAATCTGTTAATAGTGACATACACTTTTAAAATTTACCTGGTATTCATTTTACCATAGAAGAGCCTAGAACAGCAATGTTCAAACTAATTTTCAGCAATGATGAAAATGCTATCTCTGCTGTACAATTTGGTAGCCACTGGCCATGAGACTTTGAGCACTAGAAATGAATTTTATTTAGTTTTAATTAATTTAAATTTAAACAGCCAGATGTAGCTAGTGCCTACTGTTTTGGACAGTGCAGGCCTAGAAGAATCCTCAGACACCATTCATATCAACTCCCTTTTTTTAGAATTGAGAAAACTGAAGCCATAATCCACAGCTTACCTCTGGCTACTCGTTCAGATAAAATTACACTTTAAAACTGTGCAAGGTCAATCGTATTACACATGAAGTACAGAGTGTGTCCATTGTTCCAAGAATATTACCTGGAAGTAGTTGCAGTGTGCATAGGAAGAGGCAGTGGGAGTCACACAACTACTTAGAGCGTCCATGTGGGTAGAAGGAGAGCAGCACTGTAGTACAGCTGGGACAAATTCAAACAGAGAAGAGGCATCAACCAAGTTAACCTGTGTAGCATTTAAAGCACTCCCCTTTCAACTTGGAAAGAAAAATTCCAAAGGTGTTCCTTTGGGGATGCAATAAAATTAGATTTAGTACAATCAGGTGCTATTATTTGTTGAAAACAACATGGTAATTAACCAATTTAAAAAGTCATTTTAGGGGCGCCTGGGTGGTGCAGTTAAACGTCTGACTCTTAATCTTGGCTCAGGTCATGATCTCATGGTTCATGAGTTCAAGCCCAGCATCAGGCTTGGTGCTGATGATGCAGGGCCTACTTGGGATTCTGTCTCTCCTTCTCTATGACCCTCCCCTGCTTGTACTCGCTCTCTTAAAATAAACAAACTTAAAAAAATTTTTTTTAAGTCATTTTAAAGGGTCATGCCTACTTTTCTAAATGATTTCTCTGGCACCTAAACATTTTGTCACCTTTCTAACCAAATATTTATTCTTATTGAATGTAATTTCATTTTACTGAAGGGGTGCCTGGGTGGCTCAGTTGTTTGGGCAACCGACTTTGGCTCAGGTCATGATCTCACCGTCCATGGATTCGAGCCCTGCATCGGGCTCTGTGCTGACAGCTTGGAGCCTGGAACATGCTTCGGATTCTGTCTCCCTCTCTCTCTGCCCCTCCCCCATTCAAGCTCTGTTCCTGTCTCTCTCAAAAATAAACATTAAAAAAAATTTCATTTTACTGAAAATATCAGAACATGTTTGGAATTCCAAAATAATTGTTTCAAATATTTTAGTAGTAACAAACATTTGGAGGAGGGTGTGATTTTAAGGATAAAATAAGTGAAATACTGTCCAAATGTTCTTACCATTATATAACGCATCCAGTAAAATCCAGGCAAAAATGTTTTAACCACTTAAAGAAATTACTAAGAATTTGGATCCAAGACCAAAATCTTAATTGCTACATAAACTTGAGCAAGGTTAATCTCTTTGGGCCTCAGTTTCTGCATCTTATTAAAATGGGGGTAATAATAGTACATACCCTAGTATGTTTCTTGTGAGGAATGAATGAGCTAATAGGCATAAAGCACTTAGAATAGTACTGGAATACAGTAAGCAATCAAAAAATAAATAGCTAATGCCATTATTTTAACTAAAAAAGTAGGTTTTCCTAGTTTTCTCTTTACAGTTAGGATACCATAAAAAGATTGAACTCTTTGTATTGGGATAGTTACACTTACAGATGCAGTCTTTTTTTTTTTTTT